CGAACACCCGAAAACAAAGAGAGCTGCTAGAAGTTCAGCGGAAAAACAGACTGTCACCCAAAAGAGGCCCACCCCGAGAAAGCCTCTGTGCGCGAGACATGACACGTGGCTCTGCAGGCAGAACCGTCAGACTCACAACACGCAGTGTAGAATTCTATTGGGACAAGCAGCATGACTAACCTAAAACAGTGTCGGTGACAGCAGGCCATACTTGTGCAGTACAGCGGGCGGGCTGAACTCAACGGGACAAAGTTGGCCAGTAAAGGTCAATACCTTGGTCCGAGGCAGCAAACAAGGGGGGGGGGGGGAGCAGAGTACCTGGCAGCTGCTGCAGGGGCAATGCAACTGCATATTGCAGCAGCCGCACCACAAACCGTACAGCTCCTGCAGCGCAGGACCACCAGTCTCAGGCTTGACAGAGAGCAAACGGGCATAAATACATGCAGAATGGTGGCTATCACCGCCGTACCACACGCAGACCATTACCCCGCAACACAGTGTGCCAGGAGATAAACGGCTGCCGGGTCAACAGCTGGTTCTTGCACCGCCGCGGCACTCTGGCCGTAGCGGCAAAGTCAGCAAGCGCATCCCAAAAAGCACCAAGTGCCGCACGTACCGCCACCTGCTCCACCAGCACAGGCACCACAAGATCACTTGCCACAGCCCAGGCCGCTCTGCGGCCTTTTTCAAACGCATGTATAGATGCCAGGCAGACCATATCCCACACCAGTCGGTGCACATTGTGATGAGGGGAGCAAGCCAGCCACACCGCACGACACGGCAGGCTCTCACCTGCCGGCAACATGTTGAATGCTCTTAGCTGACCTTCAACCTCTTCACGCACAGCAACTGCAACAGGACACGTCCAGAAATGGTGCTCCACACCCGGCACAGCAGCAGAGCACGCCGCGCATCCCGTGGCAGTCTGCATACGCTGAGCAGTAGGGAATGCATTCAGGGCCAGGCGCCATGCAGACTCTTTGTACACGTTAGCCACCCGCACACACCACCACCGTGACAAAACCAGTCGCACCGGTGGCAACTGTGCCACGGCCGGCAACCCATCCAGGGCTCTAACACTAGCAACAAAAGCTGAATGACGGGGAGCAATTGCTTCTAACGCACGGAGGCTTTGCAGCTGCGTGGCAGTAGCGACAGTCAGGTCCTTCAATAACACAACATCATCAGCACCGCCACCTGGTCGCCGCCAGCCCAAGCTCGCACACATCGTCTCCCGCGCTAGCAAGATGTCATCTGGGAGTAAAGAAGATAACTGCGCAATGGGCTCACCCGCAGCAACAGCCGCGGTGAAACGCGCCCGCGCCGCAGCAACCCATGCAGCTGGCACCAATGTCAGCAGGGCCTGCACATGCTGGCGGGCCAGCTGACGGTCACCATACTGCGGCCTACTGCACAACCAAGGGCCCCACACCTCACGCTCATAGGCTGAGCGCTGTGCCGAGAGCCCAGGGAGAGCACAAACTCGGTCCAGCTCTGCCAACAACACCACCGCCTGGCCCAGAGACTGCAGCTTTGGGAGCTGCAGCAGGCCAAACGCCACCGCATGCTCCAAGCCCACTACCACCTCACGCTGTTGGTCAAACCACTGCCAAGTTTGTACCGCCGTAAAAATAGGGTTAGCCCATAGTGGCGCGTCCCAGCACAAACCATCCACATCCAAAGGCTGGCTGCCCACATGCCGCAACGGCGGCAAAGCGCGCAAACCCATAGCCAAAACCCGCAACGGCTTGGGCAGGACCACATCAGCCTGGGCAACCGGGAAAATATGACTTCGATGACATAACAATATGCCCCAAGGGCTGCTAGCTGTGGCGCGTGTAAAACAATCCACTGTACTGGCCCAGCGCGTCCAAAGAACGCGCGCCACAGCCACCCAAGGTGCAGTGCCACCTTGCATGAAAGGCAAAGCCTCACAGGCCCAACGCGACAACAGATGATGCTGAATCGGCATCAAACCAAAACCACCACACTTAGGATGGGCTGCCATACAATCGCTTGGGATACCAGGGCCCGCCGCAGATCCTCATCAGGGCCCTTGCCAGCATCAACTAGCGCTGCTGTCCACCGCGTCAAATTGTCCGTCACTGTAGCAGGCAGTTGACCAGCAAACTGAGCAGCATATAGAAGGGTTGACAAGGCGTAAGCATTGGCCGCAAACGCCCTGCCAAAAGCGGACAACTTGGAGAGGCGACTTATGTTCTGCATGCGGCTCCGCACCACCTCCAATCTGCCCTCCCAGTCCACACTGCTGTTGCCCCGCCCATCAAACACGACCCCCAAAGATTTCGCTTGCTGCACCAGTGGCATGGCACCCAAGTTCTGCCCCGCCCCACTCGTTACAGCCGCCGCTCCTGGCAGCTGCCCTACCTGCAGCAAACGTGATTTTGCGGGGTTCAGTCGCTGACCAGAGGCTGAAATCATCCATGCAACCGAGGAACGTGGGCACATCAGCAAGCGACAGCAAAAACACCTCAGCATCGTCAGCATACTGCGTCGCCGCAAGCTGTTGGCTGGCTGCAACAATGCCAATGCCGCGCTGCTTCAAGAAGCACAGTAGCGCCTGCCCAACAAACAGGTATAACAGAGGTGCCAAAGGACACCCCTGTCGAACTCCAGCCTCGCAACGGTAAAAAGGACTGCCAAAACCATTCACTGTGGCGCATGTGTGCGTATCCGTTAGCAGCGTGCGCATCCAACCGACAAACCCATGTCCGGCCCCAAGCGCTGTTGCTACATCATACAGTAGTGATCTATCCACAGTGTCGTAGGCTTTGGCAAAATCAGTAAAGACAACAATAGCCATACGTTGCTCTGCATTGAGCAAGGCAGGCAGCGCCTGCAGCAGCCTGATGCTATCACCAATATGCCGGTGCTGCAGAAATGCTGATTGTGCAGGGTGCACAATATCACCTGCCACTGCCAAAAACCGATTGGCAAGCAATTTGGCTAGAAGGCGATAGTCATAGTTAAGCAATTGTATCGGCCGATATGCAGCTGGGTCAGCGACATCCCCGCCTGGTTTCAGCACAGGCAAGATAACCCCATCCAACAGACCATGCGGGACACGCTGTGCTGCACCAACAGCCGAATACAACGCTGCCAATAACGGTGCAAGTTGCGTCTTGTACTGTCGATAGAACTCCCCTGGAATTCCATCCAGCCCAGGTGACCTGCCCGGGGCAGTCTGAGATATGGCTTCAAGAGAGAAGAGGGTTACATGGTGTGCACAGGCGACTACGTCGCAACGAACACCCGAAAACAAAGAGAGCTGCTAGAAGTTCAGCGGAAAAACAGACTGTCACCCAAAAGAGGCCCACCCCGAGAAAGCCTCTGTGCGCGAGACATGACACGTGGCTCTGCAGGCAGAACCGTCAGACTCACAACACGCAGTGTAGAATTCTATTGGGACAAGCAGCATGACTAACCTAAAACAGTGTCGGTGACAGCAGGCCATACTTGTGCAGTACAGCGGGCGGGCTGAACTCAACGGGACAAAGTTGGCCAGTAAAGGTCAATACCTTGGTCCGAGGCAGCAAACAAGGGGGGGGGGAGCAGAGTACCTGGCAGCTGCCGCAGGGGCAATGCAACTGCATATTGCAGCAGCCGCACCACAAACCGTACAGCTCCTGCAGCGCAGGACCACCAGTCTCAGGCTTGACAGAGAGCAAACGGGCATAAATACATGCAGAATGGTGGCTATCACCGCCGTACCACACGCAGACCATTACCCCGCAACACAGTGTGCCAGGAGATAAACGGCTGTCGGGTCAACAGCTGGTTCTTGCACCGCCGCGGCACTCTGGCCGTAGCGGCAAAGTCAGCAAGCGCATCCCAAAAAGCACCAAGTGCCGCACGTACCGCCACCTGCTCCACCAGCACAGGCACCACAAGATCACTTGCCACAGCCCAGGCCGCTCTGCGGCCTTTTTCAAACGCATGTATAGATGCCAGGCAGACCATATCCCACACCAGTCGGTGCACATTGTGATGAGGGGAGCAAGCCAGCCACACCGCACGACACGATATGGCTTCAGTCACCTCACCAACGGTGACATCTGCAGCTCCAAGACTGCGCTGAAAGAAGAGGGGTTACATGGTGTGCACAGGCGACTACGTCGCAACGAACACCCGAAAACAAAGAGAGCTGCTAGAAGTTCAGCGGAAAAACAGACTGTCACCCAAAAGAGGCCCACCCCGAGAAAGCCTCTGTGTGCGAGACATGACACGTGGCTCTGCAGGCAGAACCGTCAGACTCACAACACGCAGTGTAGAATTCTATTGGGACAAGCAGCATGACTAACCTAAAACAGTGTCGGTGACAGCAGGCCATACTTGTGCAGTACAGCGGGCGGGCTGAACTCAACGGGACAAAGTTGGCCAGTAAAGGTCAATACCTTGGTCCGAGGCAGCAAACAGGGGGGGGGGAGCAGAGTACCTGGCAGCTGCTGCAGGGGCAATGCAACTGCATATTGCAGCAGCCGCACCACAAACCGTACAGCTCCTGCAGCGCAGGACCACCAGTCTCAGGCTCGACAGAGAGCAAACGGGCATAAATACATGCAGAATGGTGGCTATCACCGCCGTACCACACGCAGACCATTACCCCGCAATACAGTGTGCCAGGAGATAAACGGCTGCCGGGTCAACAGCTGGTTCTTGCACCGCCGCGGCACTCTGGCCGTAGCGGCAAAGTCAGCAAGCGCATCCCAAAAAGCACCAAGTGCCGCACGTACCGCCACCTGCTCCACCAGCACAGGCACCACAAGATCACTTGCCACAGCCCAGGCCGCTCTGCGGCCTTTTTCAAACGCATGTATAGATGCCAGGCAGACCATATCCCACACCAGTCGGTGCACATTGTGATGAGGGGAGCAAGCCAGCCACACCGCAAGACTGCGCTGCAGGCACTGTCTGCTCATCCACAGCAGCGGTACCAGCAGTGGACCAGCTCTGCAGGGGTAATGCAGTGCTGTGTTGCAGACGAGGTGGCCGAGCGGTCTAAGGCGCACGGTTCAGGTCCGTGTCCGAAAGGGCGTGGGTTCGAACCCCACCCTCGTCAGAGGACACGCTTAGCATGTCTAAGCATCCACCAAGCAGTTTTTTAACCACTGCAGCATGTCCTGCAGCCTGTGACTGGGCCTGTGCTGTCCAAATGGTGTGGCTGTTACATTTGTAGAGGAGCGTTCACATTGTTGTATACTGTTTGGCTTTGTGTTGCCTGCTGCACACACCTGACAGGCCCCCTGCTGCAACACTCATCTCCATAATGATGAACCCTTATCATTGGAACGACGGCTCGCTGCGCTAGTGCCAGAGGCAGGTTCAGCCCTGTACTACTGCATTATATTGTAGTGTATATTGTCATGACTGCTGCACACTAGCGCTGTGCTCTGCTGCCATGACATGTAGCACACCAACCAGCTCTCCATTTGCTGCTTGCTCGCAGCTAAGCCTGCAGCTGCTGGCAGGCCGCGCGGCCCACCCAGCCACTGCCGGCCTGCTGGCGGACGCCCTGCACCTGCTAGCGGTAGGCATGGAGGACGCACCCCAGCGCGCCCGGCAGGACCTGCGGCTGAAGCTGCTGCTGCTGTTCAGCGAGGTAGCCGCGCGCGTCGGCGGGCCTGCCGGAGTGGTGACTGCAGACCTTGGGGATCTGCTGGTGGCTGTTGCTGCTGCTGCCGAGGGGCTGCAGCCGCGCGTGCTGCGACTGCTGGGTGGCAGCAGCAGCAGCCGCATGAGCATGCACGACATCCAGGTGGGTGTCGCTGCACTGCAGCAGCTGGCGGCACCCAGTGGCAAACAGCTGCTGGCAATCTTCGGCGTCGCTGATGTGGCGTACTTTCTGTGTGGGCAGCGTGCGCTGCTGGTTGCGTGCAGTGTGTAGAGTTTTTGTTGCAGAGCAGATGGGCTCCACCTGCTAGTGTCAGCAGCAGCGTATCATGCCGGACAGACAAGCTCAGCAGCAGTGCTGATGGCTTGCTGTAGCTCAAGTGCACACTTAGGAACTGCAGGAAACTGACGTGGGCTTCCTGCTGGCTTGCCGTGTTTGGTCTGCAGGCTGCCCAGCGGGAGGATGCCTCAACTACTCGGCTCTTCCGCAATCTGTGGCTCTACACCGCAATGCACAAGCTGGTCAACCCAGCAGCTGGCGTTGCAGCAGTAGCCGGCGACATCACCGCAGCAGCAGGGTTGGGAGGCAGGACTGGCGGCACAGCTGATGAGTGGCAGCTGGCAGCGGGGCGGCTGGCTGCAGTGACACCGCTGCTGGTGGTGGGCACCGACAGTTACATTGAGGCCGACATGGTGGAGAGACTCAAGGTAACACGGCAACTGCTGTGGCGCTCTTTTGCCAATATGCTGTTGCTGGCTGGAACGTCTGTGTCATCGCCGCCGCGCAGCCTTGCCACTGCAGCTGCTGCTCTTCCTGTGCTTCTTGAAGTGGCCGCCAGCTCGTTGCAATCATCCCGCATGCTGCGTTGGCAGCGTGCTAAAGGTGTGCGCTACAGCCCAGGCCTTCCAGGCACAACGGCTACAACAAAGCATGCATGGTGTGGCATATGCATGGCATTAGCATGCTCATTTCTACTGGCAACCTGGGGGCGTCCTCCTTGCCCTGCGCTCTTCAGGTTGAGCTTGGGGGCCAGCTCTCACAAGCAGGGTCTCTGGGCAGCAGCAGCTCCCTCTCAGCTGCACTGACCAGCCTTCTAGGAGGCAAGGCAGCGCTCGCTAGCCAAGGCGGCAGCAGCAGCACGGCGCCGCTGCCGCAGCCAACTGAGGCTGTGCTGCTGGCTTTGATCGTGGCTGTGGCGCTGGCAGAGCTCAGCAGGGCAGCGCTGGCACCGCTGCCGGACCTGGGTGCGCCTCTTCAAGTGCTCCTACACCCGGTGCTGGACGGTTGCTGGTTGATGCATGCTGAAACGTTGCCTGAGCACATGTTGTTGCACTGAGGGTGTGCATGGCGATACACCCAGAGCACGTCACCTCCATCGCATTGGGATTGCTGTTGCTGGAGAGCCATTTCCCTGCTGAGCCAGCTGGCCGGCGCCCGCGGGCAGCACCTGCCTCAGCACAAAGCGCAGTATAACAGAACGCCTTTCGTATGCGCAGGACGCTGTTGACTGCTGTGTGTGTCATGGTGCAGATGACGACCCCGTCGTGTCCTGCCCCATCAGCGTCTCGCTGGCCTACCTGAAAGGAGTGCTGCCAGACGGCCAGGCGGCTGCATGGGTGGGCGCCATCGTGCGGCGCGCCGCGCAGCTGTACATGGGCAGGCTGCTGGCGCTGGCAGCACGACAGGAGCAGCAGGAGGAGTTCGAAGGTTTGTGCAGGCAGCTTCTGCTGCGTCTGGGTGATGACGAGCGTGCGCGTCCTGTGGGTGTTGTTGTCTGCAGGTGTGCGTGCACACGCACAGCAAGTGCGGTTGTGCTGTTATATGTTGCTACAGCAGGTGCTATGTCCTGACATCGCCGTGTTTGTTGTTGTTGCACTGATGTTTCAGGTGCTGCTGGTGCCTTGGACCCTGCTGCACCAGCAGGGTCAGCCCTAGCATACGCCGAGCAGCTCGCCTGCGCACTCATTGCCAATCTAGGCGGAGGCCCAGCAGCAGCGCCCTACACAGTAGAAGGCAGCACCACTCCTGGTGTTGCGGCCTTGGCGGACGAGCTGCTGGTGCAACTGCTGGCTGCATTCCCTGCGCTGTATCACAGCCAGGCATGCTACTGCGGGCTGTTGGTGCAGCTGCAGCAGGAGGAAGGGGATGTGCCGCTTGGCCAGGTAGGACGCCTCTCCTGCAGCAGACTGCACTGCATGTTAGGAAGTTGATGCCACAGCATGTAGGTGGTATCACATGAAGCAAGGTGTGTAGGGCTTAGCATGCAGCATACCATGGCAAGCATGCAGTGTCCTTTCAGTCAGCAGTATGCTCTGCGCATGAAAAACAGTGGAGGCATCTGCAGCTGCAAGAATGTGTCTGGCATCCAGGAGTGCCGGTGCTGTGTGCTGCTGCTGCTGCTGCTGCCGCTGCTGCTGCTGCTGATGCTGATGCTGATGCTGATGCTGCTGCCATTTGTGCAGGTCAAGCCGGCCCACAGTGGGCTTGCGTGGGGCCGCACCAAAGCCTGGGTAGTGGCAGCAGCAGAGGTCGCCCCGATGACGACGGAGGCTCTGCTGCACACCTTCCTCACAAGCAGCGACAGCCTGCCAGGAGCGACATCACCAGCCTGGCTAGCTGGCCAGCAGCAGCTGGGTGACACGGCAGCGTCGGGGCTTGCAAGCCAGTCTGCTGCATCAACGGGTGACGCGTTTGGGACTGGGGTTGTTGGGGACGGAGTCACGGCTCCTGATGCAGGTGCTGCTCTGGGTGGCGCACATGCAGATGGCAGTGGGTTTGGCCAGGGCTTGAGCGGCCGGGGACGGGCGCGATTCGCCACACAGGCAGCATTCAGGAGGGCGGCGGATTTGCTGCAAGCCTGCGGCGCAGCACGGCGGCGGCAGCAGCTAGGCTATGTCGGGGATGGTGCTTACGAGGGGGCGCTGGGCCTCACCCGTAAGCTGCACTACACTGGATACGTGCAGGGCTTGATGAACGGGCGAGGATCCGCAGCAGCTACGGCAGCAGGTGCTGCTGGCCATGATAAACCTCCTCTAGCTGCAGCAGGCGGCGATGGTGTTGCAGCAGGAGCAGCAGCAGCAGCAACAGGAGAGCTTGGTACCCCTAGTTTGCACACGCTGCGGGGTGTTGATGAAGAAGTGCCATGGCGGGCAACGGCGCACTTGCAGCAGAAAGGAGCAGTGCCAGCATGTGCAGTGTTGACAGCGAGGCCAGCCTGCAATCGGAGATGGCTGTTGCCAAAGAGGTGAGCAGCGACAGCCGGCGCTGCAGCCACTGCATGCTGCGTGTGTCTGGTCCCATCACTGCTGCGGTGCGCAGAAATGGAGCTTGCTTGCATGCTCACAGCACATCCATCGTTTCAGTCACTTACTCATGCAGGGCAAGCATTGTATGTAGCCTTGCATCTCTACAGACACAAGCACCTTTTTTTGTAGTGTATGCAAGTGAATGCCGGCAAAACACTCTGCTGGCTGCACATGTGATTCACATCATCATACCTGCAGATCGCCACACAGCTGGAAGCAGCCCTGCAGCAGCCCTGCTCGCGTGCGGCGCACTTGGCAGTAGCACAGCTCAGCGCGACCGCACTGCTGGCAGTGCAGCCTGACGCGTTCAGCTACAGCCAGCTGGGCATGCGGCTGGTGGGGGCGCTGGCGCGCGCGCCACTGCGGCACCTGACACCCGAAACGATGCGGCTCAGCCAGTTCAGCTGGTGCTGGGTGAGGGGGTGGTGGCAGGGGTATGTGTTGCATACGCGCAGCTCGCTGCTTGCTGTCTTGTATGGCTGCTGCTGCGGCATGTACGTGTGACAAGGGGCGGGTTTTCCAGTTCAGCTGGAGCTGGGTGAGTAGGGGTGTACTTGAGCATACTTTTTAAAGCAGCTTGGTCTTGCCGGTTGTCTGTACAGCTGCTGCTGCTGCTGCGCAGCTATGACCCGGTGTTATGTGAAAGCCAGTTATTGCAGTGCTGACCAAGGTGTGCGCCGAGTAAAAGACAAGCTATTTGTGTGCACAGGCATTGCATTCTGCTTGCATCTGCAGTACATCTGCTGGGCATGTGGTTGTGAACGACACTCAAGCCATGCGGCTGCAGTGGTAGCAGCAGGCCACACTTTGCTGCCCTGACGCCTTGAACTGCTGGATGCCGTTGCTGTGCGCGTCCTCCATTGACTTGCATGTGGTAAGACTTTGCATCCTGCCACATTCTGCTCGTTGCTTGTGGTGCTGCCCTGCTGATCTCGGCTTGCAGGTGAGCGTGGAGTCTCCTGAGGTGCTGGTGCCGCTGATATCAAGCCTGGCCAGCGCCTGGATCTGGACCCTGGACCAACGCATGGGGCTGTTCAGCGGCAGCCAGCACCAGCAGCACCCACACCAGGCAGCAGCAGCAGCCGGTGCTGCTGGCGCTGGTGGCGGTGCGGCAGGGCATGGCGAAGCAGGTGGAGAGGCTGC